TTTTTTTTTTTTTTTTTTTTTTTTTTTTTGTTGTTTTTAGCATAGCCAAAATTTTTTCTAAGCATTGCTGAAATATGATCCGTAAGTTTGGTAGGTCATGTTTTCATTTTTGTTCATCTTAAAGTATTTTTCTTTTTTTTCTTTTTTTTTTTAATGTTTATTTTTGAGAGAGAGAAACTGAACATGAGCAGGGGAAGTGCAAAGAGTAAGGGAGACACAGACTCTGAAACAGGCTCCAGGCTCCAAGCTGTCAGCACAGAGCCTGATGTGGGGCTCAAACTCACCAACTGTGAGATCAAGACCTGAGTCAAAGTCAGATGCTCAACAAGCTGAGCCACCCAGGAACCCCTCAAAGTATTTTTCAATTTCCTTTTTGATTTCTTCTTTGACTCCTTAGCTATTTAAGAGTGTTACTTTTGATTTTCTTTTGTCATTGATATCTAATTTAATTCCATTGTGATCAGATGACACACTTTATATGATTTCAGGGTTTTTTTTCAATTTATTAAGTCTTGTTTTATCACCTAGCATTTGGTCTCTGGACAGTGTTCCATGTGCACTTGAGGAGAATATGTATTCTGCTGTTCTTCAGATGTTAGTTGTAATTTGTTTATAGTTGTTTAACCTTCTGGGGTTTTTTTGTTGATCCTCTGCTTAGTTGTCTATTTATTATTGAAAGTAGGTATTTAAGTTTCCAACTATAATTATTCAATTGTATATTTTTTCAGTTAATTATTTTTTGCTTCATGTATTTTGGAGCTATATTGTTCAGTGCAATATGTTTATAATCATTATATCTTCCTGATAGATTGAACATGTTTTTATGTGATGTTGTTTTTGTCTCACAATAACTTTTGGCTTACAGTTTATTTTGTCTGATATTATGATAACCATTCCAGCTCTCCCCTGCGCGCGCGCGTGCTCTCTCTCTCTCTCTCTTTTTTTTTTTTTCTGCTTGCATGGTGTATTTTTCTTTCTTTTTACTTTCAGCTTGTGTCTGAGTCTAACGTGTATCTCTTATAGACAATATAACTAGATCATATTTGTTTCTATCTCTGTCTTTCAATTAGGATATTTAAACAATTTGCATGTAATTACTAAGGTAGGATTTACATCTGCCATTTTAATATTTGTTTTCTGTATCTTCAGTCCTTTTTGTTACTCTACTTCTTGGTTTTTTGTTACTTGTTTTCTTGTTACTCTCTTATTTTTTAAATGGATACTTTCTAATGTACTTTTTAATTCTGTTGTTTCTTTTACTGTATAGTTTTGAATATTTTCTTAGTTGTTGCCCTGAGGATTACAAGTAGTATCTTGATTTAAAATGATTTAGTTCAGATTAATAGTAATTTAGTGATACACAAAACTTTTGCTCCAATACACCTCCACGTTCGCCTGCCCTCCTTGTACTATTATTGTCAGACAAATTACTTATTTTTATGTTGTAAGCCCATCAGTACAGTTTTATAATTATTACTTTATGCAGTTGTCTCTTAAAACCTACAGTGGAAATGAGTCACCAATTTAAAAATACATTCATCCTCTTTTATAATTGCCTTTACCAATGCTCTTTATTTCTCTATGTGTATTTGAATTACTGTTTAGTGTTCTTTTGTCTCATTGGCAGGTAGTGTTTTTGTTGATGTGGCAATGTCTTATATGTCCTTTATTTTTAAAGGAGAGAGGTGAATTTAGATATCTTAGTTGAGTCTTTTTCTAAACATTCTGATTTTGTCGTCCCACTGGCTTTTGACTTCCATGGTTTTGGTGGAGAAGTCCCCAGTTAATCTTATGCAGGTTTCTTTATACATGGTAAGTTATTTTTTATCCTGGTCTCCAACTTTCAGTGTCTCTTTGGCATTCATCAATTTGACTATGGTGGTTCTAGATATGGTTCCATTTGAGTTTATTCTTTGGATATTCTTTGGATTTTCCTAAGTTTTTTGAATGTGTGGTTAATATTTTTCATCAATTTTTTTTTCTGTCTCCTACTTTCTTTTCTTTTTTTGAGATTCTTTTTATGCTTATTTTGGTACACTTGATGTTTCCACACATCAAGGTCTCTAAGGCTGTTTATTTTTCTTCATTTTCTTTTTTTCTGCTCTGTTGGAAAACCAGAGTGGAAAACCTCTGTTGATCCATGTTCAGGATTGCATTATTGTAGCTCAACTCTGTTGTTGAGCACTTCTAGTAAATATTTTATTTCAGTTATTATATTTTTTCACTCCAGAGTTTTTGTTTGGTTCTTTTTTATAATTTCTCGTCATTGATATTTTCTATTTGGTGAGTCATCACTGTTACACTTTCAGTCTTTAGATATGGATTTCTTTATTTATTTGAACATATTTATAATGGCTGGTTTAAAGTCTTTGTCTATTAAGACCAAAATATGGGTCCCCTTGAGGAACATATTCTGTTGGTTGCATTTTTTCATGTGTGTGTGGCATACTTTCCTCTTTCTTTGCATGTCCTATAATTTTTGTTGTTGTTGAAAACTGGACATTTTATATTATAATGACTCTGGTATCATTACTTCAACCTCTCCCTTCAAAGTTTGTTGTTGCTGATACTGTTGGTTTCTCTTGTTGCATGACTTTCTTGGACTAATGGCTTTCCTGCAGCGTGTGGCTGTTAAATTTTTAGAGCTGACCTCTGAGTCTAATAGTCACCACATTGAGGATAGAGATTTTTCTAAAGAATTGCAAGTTTGTACAAAATACTGACTGTGTTCTGGAGATGGTGCTTTCACAGAGCTCTGGAAGAAATCCGATCTCTCCATTGTCTACAGTGCTGCTGGCTTTTTTTGGCTGCTTTCAGCTGAGCTAGGGCAGGAGGTGAAATGGGAGTAGCCCCAAGTAAAAACAGTAGAAACTCTGTAGTCCTACTGAGGTTTGGTAGTTTCTTCTTGGATGGGTGCTTTTTAGTTCATTTTGTGGTTTTGGTTAGTTGCTAGAGTTCTGATGTTGATTTTTAAATGTGTCCCTTGTATTCTTATTGTTTTAAAGAAAGAACTAATTTGCCAGTATCCTCTCTCCACCATTTTGGGAGTTGATCTCCCCATTATTCGTGATTTTCCATATAATGCGATGCTGGATTTGGTTTACTGGTATTTAAGATTTTTGTGAATATTAGTGATATTTTTGAATTGGGTAACATCCAGTGTTCTTATGTGCTTTGCAATAGCTTGTATAAGACATTTCTTTGATGGTTTAGTAGTTTTAGGTCTGCTATGGAGAGAGGATTCTGCATTATTTTGTTTTTTTCTAAGTATTCTACTTGCCATAATGTAGTTTTACTGATCCTTTTTTTTTATTATTAAAAAAATTTTTTTTAATGTTTACTTATTTTTGAGAGAGAGAGAGAGAGACAGAGCCCGAGCAGGGGAGGGGCAAAGCAAGAGGGAAACACAGAATCTGAAGCAGGCTCCAGGCTCTGAGCTGTCAGCACAGAGCCTGACTCAGGGCTGGAACCCACAAACTGTGAGATCATGACCTGAGCCAAAGTCAGACATTTAACTGAACCACTCAGGTGCCCCTACTGATCCTTTGAACAAATAGAGCAGCTTCTCTGCCTCAAATGACCATATGCATACATTTTGTCTTATCTTTGTGAGTATATGTAGTAGTACTTTGCAAAGTTTTAGCCAAGATTTTTTCTGTGCTCTTCACCACTTTATCCCCAGTGCCTAGAACAGTGCCTATAACATAGTGTGTTCCTCTTGTATGAATAAATAACATTATCTGTAATCTCTTTAAATATTTCTGTGTACTCCTCACTTACTTTCATCATCAATAAAGTCTACCACTTGCCTCTGTACTTTTATTTCCTTCCTATACTCCATGGTAGGAGGAACTCAGTATTGTTTTAACACTGTAACACTTCTTGCAAGTAAATGTTTATTTAATTAAATCTCTTTTTAGAGCTAGTTCTTTTCACTAATATCAGTGTTATTGTAATCATTTATGTAGTATACGTTTACATACCTTTTGTTCTAACTACTTTTTAGGCCATGGACACAGTCATTCCCTTTTTAATGGTGTGCTGGATCAGGCACATGGCCATGGAGATCATTGCCATAGTCATGATTTGAAACATGGTGCTTCACATAGCCATGATCATGCTCATGGACATGGACACTTTCATTCTCATGGTGAGTACAGGCAGAAGATTTTCAAATGGATAGCCTTCCAAATACACAGAGATTTTGTGTAGATTACTCTTTTCATTGAAATAGTCTCTTGAAAGGGTCTTGTAATCAACTTCCTTTCTAATGAATTGGACTAAATGGTTCACAGGGCTAGTTCATTTTTAGTATATGATGAAATTAACTCAATATAATGCAGTGGATATAGCTTTTTTTTTCAGTGAATATATTATACTATGTGCCACTATTTTAAATGAGTGTCAGTGAATCAGAAACAATTGTTTTTTAGCAAATGAAAATCATTTAAAAAAAAATTTTTTTTTTTTTTAACATTCATTTATTTTTGAGACAGAGACAGAGCTGAATGGGGGGAGGGGCAGAGAGAGAGGGAGACACAGAATCGGAAGCAGGATCCAGGCTCTGAGCCATCACCCCAAAGCCCGACGCGGGGCTTGAACTCATGGACCGCGAGATCATGACCTGAGCTGAAGTCAGACGCTTAACCGACTGAGCCACCCAGGCGCCCCGAAAATCATTTTTTTTTAAATATGATAAAGCCTTTTGTGCTATATGTGGGCTTATAGGGGTTTTCAATTTTTTTCATTTTCATTGCAGAATTTTTGATTTGCGCCTTGTTCTCTCAGAAATCTTGTGTGCTAACTTATATAGCATTGGGTATTAAGTTATAAGGTATTTATCAACTTAATTTTTATTTTTAAATTATATTTTAAATAATTTATCTGTGAAATTTCAGTATAGATTAATATAAGCTGCTCTGAGAACAAGTTATATGCTTAAGTATTATCTGTACTTGCCACATAGAATCCTCAAACTTTTGATTTGATAATTAAAAAAAGTTCTTAGAGATTGAATATTAAGTCCCTAATTTTTCAATCTCTAAAATTTGCTATATTTTTGTACTATTACACTGGTATGTTTTATTTAGTATTTATTTATTTGTATTTTAATTTCAGTATACTTAACATACAATGTTAAATTATTTTCAGGTGTACAATAAATACAGTGATTTAACAATTCCATTTATTACTCAGTGCTCATCAAGATAAATGAACTCTTAATCCCCTTTATCTATTTTACCCATCCTCCAACCCCACCTCCTCTCTGATAACATCAGTTTGTTCTCTAGTTATAGTTTAGTCTGCTTTTTGGTGTGTCTTTTTTTTTCATTTGGTTATTTGTTTTGTTTCTTAAATTCCACATATGAGTGAAATCCTATGTTATTTGTCTTTCTCTGACTGACTTACTTTACTTAGCATTATGCTTTCTAGATCCATCCATGTTGCAAATGCCAAGTTTTCAATCCTTTTTATGGCTGAATAATATTCCATTGTATGTATATATACTACATCTTCTTTATGTATTCACCTATCAATGGACACTTGGGCTCCTTCCATAATTTGTTGTAAATAATGCTGTAGTAAACATACAGATACATATATCCTTTCGAATTAGTGGTTTGTTTTTTTTTTTTTTTTGGATAAATACTCAGTAGTGCAATTACTGGATCACGTGGTAGTTCTGTTTTTGAATTTTGAGGAACCTCCATTCTGTTTTCCACAGTGGCTGCACCAGTTTGCATTCCCAACAGCAATTCACCAAGGTTCCTTTTTCTCCACATCCTTGCCAACACTTGTTGTTTTTTATGTTTTGTTTTGTTTTTTTAAATTTTTTTAAATGTTTTTATTTATCTTTGAGAGAGAGAGAGAGAGATAGTGTGCACGCAGGGGAGGGGCAGAGAGAGAGGGAGACCCAGAATCCGAAGCAGGCTCCAGGCTCTGAACTATCAGCACAGGGCCTGACGTGGGGCTCGAACCCACGAGCTGTGAGACCATGGCCTGAGCCAAAGTCAGATGCTCAACTGACTGAGCCACCCAGGCACCCCTCTTATGTTCTTGATTTTACACTGGTATGTTTTAAAACCTTGCTTTCCCAAGATTTTGCTTACATGCATCCTGTAATAATTTTGAAACATTGTGTATTCCTCACACAGTAAGATGATTCCTAAAAAATTACTTGTTTAAATAATGGCAAGGAATATGATTTCAGGTATCTTATTGATAATATTTAGAATGAAACTTCTGTATTACTCTGAAATATATTCATTGGACTCTAAATAACTTAGTGATTTGAGACCCACTCTCACTCATGCAAAAACAGGTAAATTGTTATAAATATTATAACATCCTGTTTCTCCTTGAAGTTTTATTTTCATTCCAGAATTTTATACTAATGGATTATATTTGTGTTATAGTTCTTGGCAGTAAAATGTGTATAAATTAAAATTTTTTATGTCCTAGAAACATAAGACTTAGCATTTATTTTGGATGGAGTTACTGTGGTTATTACTAAAAGTCAATCAAAATAATTGTATTTTAAAAATTTTGATAATACATAATCATAAAAAGCAATATTTTTCTTGAAATACATATATTAATGAGATGATTTGAGCTCCTTGTTTCTCAATTAGTATATGGATAAATGACATCAGCATAAAACACATTTGGGTAATAGTTCTGTTCCTATTTTCTAGTTTTATAATGTAAGTACTAAGAAACTTTAAATAGAAGAAATTCTTTTTGTAGCAGTTTCAGTCTATTCTTTGAACACTTCAGAATTACATTCCAGGGTTGCCTGGGTGGCTCAGTCGGTTAAGTGTCTGACTTCAGCTCAGGTTGTGATCTCATGTTTGTGGATTTGAGCCCCGCATCGGGCTCTGTGCTGATGGCTCAGAGCCTGGAGCCTGCTTCAGATTCTGTGTCTCCCTCTCTCTCTGTCCTCTCCTGCTCGCACTGTCTCTATCTCTCAAGAATAAACAAACATTAAAATTTTTTTTTAAATAATTACATTCCAAAAATTACGCATTGATCTGTTATCAAAAATTATTTTTGATGATCTATAAATTGGCAGTTTCATTAGCTAATCCCTACATTTTATTAAAAAGTAAAGAATTGGAAATCACGTTGCTTACAAAAGGATTTGCTAGGTAGTATCTACAGTTATTACTTTTCTGATATTAACACCAATATTTGCAATTCACCACTTGTTTGTTGCTCTAGAATTTTTTTTATTTATGCCTTTGGCAATGCACTGTAGTAAGATTCTAAATAGGTGAAAGGTAGCCTTTTTTTTTTTTTTTTGCCAAGGGGAGAACGTAAGTGGCAAAGAAGAATTTATAGGACATCATGGCACATGGATATCATAGTAACTAGTAAAAGGAAATGCTAGGCTTCAAACAAGGAAATCTGACTCCAAAATCTTCTCTTGACTATTATTTCTGCCTTCAGTGTATATTAGTCAATCTGAGGATATGAAGGTAATAGGGCCATGATTCCATTTTGCCTGTGAGAGACATTGTAGTCTCACTGGGAAATACTGTGAGCCTCATATTTTTTGGAATGCTTACTGTCAGTAAAGCTAGCTGGTTTTTAACTTGCTTGCTTTAACTACTCATGTCTCAGTGACTCAAGCAGTAAAAGTTTATATCTTACTCTTGGGTTGATGGGGTAAAGGAGGATGGATACTGTTTCTCATTCAGTCTAGAGATCCAGGTTCCTTTCATTTCTGGGATTCTTGACCTTTGGAATCCTCCCATGGATTCTCTGCATCTACCTGGAGATAAACTACATAGAAGATCATGTGGGACATTATTTTTTGGAGGCGGGGGACATTCTTACAAGCCTGGAAATGGTTTACCTCTCATATTTCTTTGTTTAATACTCAGTCACATACATCACATAACTCAATGGAACCTGGGAAATGTAGTTTAGTTGTTTACCAAAGAAGTGGGTGATAAACAACTACCCAGTCTCTACCACAGATAACAAATTTTATGTCCAGAAGTACTGTCAGATTTTACATAGATGGGAGTTGTTTTACATAGCCATTATATTAGTATAGTATTATATACCTTCCAAATAATTATGTCAAAAATTACTGTCCTTATCTAGACCTACTACCTATAGACAAATCCCTTGCCTTGATTAGGGAGCTGGAGTTTTGGAATAGTCAACACTGTTGACTGTCCGCATGATTTTTTAAGGTGGCTGCATCTTTCTGCCATCATAGCAGTGCCATATCCAGACAGAAATCATTGTGCAGCTTTAGGCTTTTATGCCTTTTCTGAAGCATTGTTACAGTCTCTATCAAAGCTGTAGTAAGGATATGTCAGCTCGTAGGTACTATGGGCCAAGAACCATGACCCCAGACAAGCTTTCTGTTAGACATGATCAGAAGGCTTATCAGTCCTCCTCATGATCTCAGTATTGCTGATTGTTTACCTATATTTTCTGCTTTAGTATCTTCAGAGTAAGTATAGAAATTAGAGTATTGTTAAATTTTTTTCATCATAAAGTCTTAATGAACAAGTATTTTTATCTCTTCTCTGTGAAAAGCTTGCCACATCCATTTAGAAGCTGTTAGAAAACTATTGTTTGCCACAGTCCAGTTATCCTGGATGCTGTCCTGGCTTCATTACTTCGACCTCTTGTAACTTCAAGCAGTAGATTTGTTTTGTCTAAGTTTTCCAGCTGTAATATTAGTGTAGCAAGCTGTAGTATAAGGTATGTTACGAGTAGTAGAAGACTTTCACAGTGTTTCTAATTTACTGTCTCTTACTAGATTGCTTAATATAATAATGACCTAAACACTGTGTATTTTTAAAATGCCCATGTCTATCTCCATTCAGTTACTACATTAAATTAAAAAAATAATTTTGAAAAAAAAAAATAATTTTGTAGGTCTGATGTGGCTGTATAGTCATGCATCCTTCATGATATACTTGAATGAAAAGTTCTCTGAATTGCAAAAGTTGAATCAGGAATTGAAGATATATTTTAAAATAATTTAACTTAACTCTCTACAGATGGTCCCTCTTTAAAAGAAACAACAGGACCCAGCAGACAGATTTTACAAGGTATGACAAGCAATTTGTATATTTCTGTTTTATGAAATGGATTTCATTGTGTTGATCTATCTGGAAATTTCCTTTAAGAAAAGTGTATAATGTAATATTTGTGTCTAAAATATTAGCTTTTCTTCTGATTTTTAAAATATATACTATTAGGTATATTAGCAGATATTCTTTTAACTGTTACTTTTGCCTATTTTCTTAGATTTAATAAGAAGATTAAAATATTTAGTACTGTAGGGGCACCTGGGTGGCTCAGTTGGTTGGGTGACCAACTTCGGCTCAGGTCATGATCTCGCAGTTTGTGACTTTGAGCCCTGTGTCGGGCTCTGTGCTGACAGCTCGGATCCTGGAGCCTGCTTTGGATTCTATCTCTCTACTCCTCCTCTGCTCACGCTCTGTGTCTCTCTGTCTCTCAATAATAAATAACATTAAGAAAAATTTTTTTTAATATTTAGTAGTTAACTATAAATTATACCCATGCCAATGGCTATAGTAACACCATAGTAATATATTTGCCTTCATAGGATGATTAAATATTTTTTCCAAATTCAGTATTCAGTATGTATTTACGTTGTGGAAAAATTTAGAGGAAAAAATGTAATGCATCCAAACCCTTAGAATGTATAACACTAAGAATGAACCCTAATGTAGTTGGACTTTGAATGATAATGACATGTCAGTGTAGTTTCATCACTTGTAACAAATGTACTTACTACTCTGCTGGGGAATTTTGACAATTTGGAATGTTATGCCCAATACAGGGGTGTATGGGAAATCTGTACCTTCCATTCAGTTTTGCTATGAATGTGAAACTGCTCTAAAAACTTAACTCTGTTATATTAAAATATGCATGTAATGCACAGTGAGACCTTTGTCATATTCATAGGCATCAAATGATGATACCTTACAAAATTTTACAAGGCAGAGAAAATCAGTTTTGTCTATGAACTATGATAGTTTGTTTTTGAAATGTGAGCCAATCTTTGGCTCTGAGTTTCCATTTAGACTTCATTGTCAAAGTTTCCAAATTCCCAGCTCCCCACCTTCCTGCTTTTAGTAACTTTTGACTTCAATCTGACTTTCTCAGTAGCTCATGATACAATCTCTACTGCACCTATTTTTCTTCACTATTTCTTGATAGAGCTCTTGCTTTTTATTTTTTCACTGCGAATATGCTCCTTCATACTGTGGAGTTTATTTCAGGAGGCTTAAATGTGTCTTCTAGTCACTAGTTTTCCATTTGCAAAATATATAGAATTGGTTTAGAACAGCATTTGCTGAAATAGCTTGTAATCATGCATATGTAATGCATCTATATCCAATGCTATAAATTAGCCTTGATAATATGAGTTTATTTTTAGTTTTGGAAATCATCACAAGTTGAGGGAAGGGAGGTTAGATTTGCCTTCCTAATTATCTTTTATACAAGCTATTAGGAAAATTACTTTATATTTTCTGAGTATCCATCAATTTCCAATGGCTGCCGCAGCCCAGTAGATAGCTGAAGGATAGAGATAACTGGCATTAAAAGTTTCCGTGTGGCTACTCACACATGAAAACTGACATAACCAAGTTTTTTGGTTATTTGCAGTTTCTTCAGTATGAACTCTGGCTTTCTATATTCCTGGACAGTTAACATTTCAGTATCCTACCAGGTCTTCTAAGGCTTTCAACTTTTATATAAGTTAAACATACTAGTTTAGATTTCTCTCTTTAGTGATTATTCTTCTTGAAACAGTCACTACAAAGTAAGAAGGGCTTAGGAAATTCATGACACTTCCTAATAAAGTCAGTTTTGTGGCGCCTGGATGGCTCAGTCAGTTGGGTGTCCCACTTCGGCTCAGGTTATGATCTCACAGCTCGTGAGTTCGAGGCCCGCATTGGGCTCTCTGCTGATAGCACAGAGCCTGGATCCTGCTTCAGATTCTGTGTCTCCCTCTTTCTCCCCCACTCACACTCTGTCTTTCTCTCTGTCTCAAAAATAAGTAAACATTAAAAAAAAAAAGCCAGTTTTTAGGTCAGAACATAAGATGTAGTCAGGGACTTTTTAGTGGAAGAGAAATCAAGAACAAATGATACTTTTTTTTTTCCTTTTAGTATTTAGAGTCATTTTTACATCTGATCCTACTAAGACACTAATTAAAGAATATAAAGGCTTGACATCACATGTCACGTAAGAGTTTTGAAGCTTAGGTACCTTCAATCTACTTTGATGGACACTTTTCTCCATTTTTTTTTTTTTTAACCTAATGTGGGCTCGACACTTATTAAATTCTTTGCTATTTGAAACACCCTAGAGCAACAGATTTTTTTTTTTTTTCTATGAGTATGCTTTGGCATAATATTTTCGTTACGGGAAATAGAACCATTAGCTTTTTGAAGAGTAGTTATAAAGGTCTATATATGAATGAAAAAGTATATATTAAGTACTGAGGGATGAATTATATTTGGTATAATACTTGATATAAAATTATACAGTAGTAAATGAATTGAAGCATATTTTCCTATAGCACATTAAGATTTGATTGGACTCAGTGATAGTCTGTTTTTAAATTATTAGAAAGTGTTTTCAGGTTTAATAAATCTATGGTATATACCTAAAAAATAAATGATTTGCCTTCAATTGTCCAGTGAATAATAAAGAAGTAGAATAAGTATTTCTAATGTAGACATATGCTTTTTACATATTAAGTATTTCTTTTCAGATAGAGCAAATGCTATTTTAAAATGTTCTCAATGTTTTGCTGTACAGTAAATTTTACTTATTAAAGATCTAAATGTTGAATAACTTATTGTTTTGTTAGTCTTTTTAAGAAATAATGTATTTAAAACAAAAAAAAAGAAATAATGTATTTTAAACTTACCTCTTGATACTTTTTAATAGTTTAATAATCAAATGTCAATTATTACATGTTAACATTTAGAAGTGGGTTCTGGTTCTGATCCCACATCTGACCTCCAACTAAGATTCTGTGCACAATTCCTATGGAAGAATGAAGAATATACTCTCATACCAGCAAGCAATTCTCTGATACCTGGAGGTCAGAGGTCAGTGGCTTGGGACTGGAGGTTCCAATCCTCTGATCACAGGACAGATTGGCTCTCCTGGCAGCCAGCCCCCATCCTCAGGTGGGGTCCAAAAGTATGTTAACATTAACAAGAGACACCTTTGTTGCTGTCATTTGGGAAGTTCCAGGGCTTTTCTAGAAACAGGGATGAAGGCCAAATATGTATTTCTTATTATAAATCACAATGTCACAATATTATATCTAGGTTCTTGAACGGTTAGAATATCAGTATCCTACCAATCTAGTTTTTATTTATTGAAAGTTTAAAAAATATATTTACTTTAAAATATTCAGATCTCTACTTTCTTCCACATCAGGTTTGAGCTTAATGTGTAGTTTTAGGTAACAAAACCCTCAGGATAATTAATAAGTACGTATGTCAGGATTTGTAGAGTTATGATCCAAAGGAAATTCTTGTCTCAAGTCGTAATAATTTTAATTACCAGCAGAGGTCTCTGTGTGTACATGTATTCCTAGTTGTAAACAATGCTACTTGAACAATTCTTTCAGCCTAATGCAATTTTTTTTCTAAAAAATTGTTAATTAATATATGGACTCTCTTAACCAGAGATGAATGTGCTTAAAATCAACTTGTTTCTGTTCTTCTTCATTTATGTTGTACCAAAATACTAAGAATCATGAAAAACAAGTATGATTTATGAATCAGCTATTTTAACCCCTGGTGATTTGAAAAAGTGAAGATTATTTCAATTCCCTATTATTCACTACTAAACAATGAATTTACATTCATCCCGATTTTCTAATTGGTATTTAGTTTTTTATATATATAATGAAGAATATAGTTTTAAGAAATATTTGTATTTTTCACTGATCAGAAGATACTGTTTTGATTTTAATTATGCTTTGTTTCCAGGTGTATTTTTACACATTCTGGCGGATACACTTGGGAGTATTGGTGTAATTGCCTCTGCCATCATGATGCAAAATTTTGGTCTGATGATAGCAGATCCTATCTGTTCAATCCTGATAGCCATGCTTATAGTTGTAAGGTAAGTGTTATACATTACTTTCAGATATTAAAATGAGAGGTGATTAGTGTGCTACTTAAATTACAGATCTAAAAGACAAATTGTTATTATATTGGTTTCTCTTTGGCCGTTAACAAACTCCGATGTAGATTATTTCTCTTCTCATCTTCCTATTTTTTTCTGTTTGCCATTTATGTCTTGCCTAGGTTTTGACATTTCTTTTGGGTATTTAGCAATTAATCTTTTTGGCTTGTAATTCAACTTAGTAGTAATTTTTTTAAATCCAATATTCTATCTGTAGAGTAGAACATTGAAAATATAAAATGTTTTAGCTATACTTAGAATCTGATTCTATATCTTATGTTATTAGATGTAAAAGGATGTTAAAGTCTCTTCTACAGCTATTTAATTCATAAAGTCATCTTATCATTGCCGAAGTCTTATAAAAATGCTTATTGAGGTATACATATATCTGTCTCCCAATTAGACTTATAAAATTCTTTAGGAAGGATCTCTTAGTTGCTTATCACCTACCATTTTTCTAATGTATATGTAAAAGTGTGTGTGTGTGTGTGTGTGTGAATTCTCAGTAAATATTTGCTAAATTAGATTGTGTAATATCTCAGATTTATCTCACTCTGAAATACATTTTATTATTTGTTTAATTTTTATCAGAATAATGGAATAATATGTGCCTTTATTTCAGTCTTGAATTGTTTAATATATTTAGTAATTTTATATACACATACCTTGATTTGACTATTTTTGTTTTATTTATCCGTAATAATTTTACTGCTGGTAAAACTTGATTTCTAATGATCACTAGAGGACAGACTATGATTTTTATAGCTTGCGGTTGAATAGAATATACCTAATTATGATGGAATTATAATATTGTAAATTAGTCATAAATATTAATTTTGAAGTTCTTGCCTTAAAAAAAGGATACAGATTTAAATATGCAGCTTATTTTTTACATTTCTTCAAATTATTTGTACCAGGAAGCAACTCTGTTATGTAAAAGTCTTTTATAAAGTTCAGAAGTTTTTTCATCTTTGGAAATCTTAACTATACTTCCTTGAAAGTTCAGCTGATATGTCACATAATTCTATGAAACTTAACTACTGATAGATTTGGTAACTTATATCTGTATCTCTCTATTTGTATGTTCATTTTGTTTTGTATTATAAGTTTTAGTGGCTTTTAATACTTCCTAGAGTAGGATCTTAATAATTGCTTCTTTTTGGCTACATTATTACTATCCTAATTCTCCTATCAATTATTACTTTGAAGAGGTTGGCTTCTCTGTCTCCCTGTATACTTTTCTCCATCCTGTGGCCACAGTGATCTATCTTTCTTTCTTATTCATTTATTTTGAGAGAGAGAGAGAGTAGGAGAGGGGCAGAGAGAGAGGAGGAGAGCGAGAGAGAGAATCCCAAGCACATTCCATACTCAGCATGGAGCCCAACTCTTGGGGCTCAGTCTCATGAAGTGTGAGATAATGACCTGAGCTGAAATGAAGAGTCAGAAGCTTAACCGACTGAGCCACCTAGGTGCTCCCACAATGATCTTTCTTAAATGAAGATTCTGGTGCATGGAAATATTATCTTGCTTTAAATTCTTCAGTGGTGCTTTCTTACCTTCAGGATAAAGTCCAAACTCCTCAGTGGGGCATCTTGATAGCCTGTTTACTTCTCAGTCTTTCTCTAACCCTTTCTCAATTTATATTCTGCTCTCCAGCCACAGCAAATTACTTTCAGTTTCCTGAAAATATGTTATGAGCTGTCTGGATTCTGTGCTTTGACTACTTTCTCCAAAATACTCTTATGCTGAGTGCCTGTCTTCCTCTCCCCCGCAAGTACATCCATCACAACTGCTCATCCTTCAGATCAGATTTCAGTTTTAAACTGCACTTCCTTCAGAAAGGATTTCGGGATTGTCCACCTCCCAGGCTGAGTTAAATATGCCTACCTGTACCACCTTTGACTGTTCCTTTCACTGCATTGACTCAACAAGTTGAAATAGCCTGTTTATTCTTTCTTAAGCTCTGTGAGGGCAAATTGTTTTGTCATTGTTGTATAGTCAGTACCAGACTCTGCCAGGTTTTTAAAAGTTTGTCTATTTTGGATTTGAATCAAAATAAATTCATGTTTCTTCAACCTTGGAGAATTACTTTCTCTGTTCCCAAATAGGGAATTCTTACTTAGTTCTATTACCATTCTGTTAGCCAACAGATATGAATAAAAATACATACACACAACTTTTTTTTACTGAAATATAACACATTATATTTTGTGTTTTATTTCACACAACTGCACAAATCAGGGGCACCTGGGTGGCTCAGTCAGTTAGGCGTCTGACTTTGGCTCAGGTCATGCATAATCTCATGGTTCATGGGTTCGAGCCCCCACATTGTGCTCACTCCTGTCAGCCTATCAGTGCAGAGGCCACTTCAGAGCCTCTGTCCCCTTCTCTCTGCTCCACCCCCACTTGTGCTGTCCCACGAAGTAAATATATGCTAAAACCAAAACAAAGCAAAATTGCACAAATCCTTTTCAACAAATATTTATTAAATAGGCCCTGTCACCAGAGTGGTAATAAGATACTGTTTCACAGTATCTTACGTTACAGTTGGAGAGAGAGAGAGAGACAACAAACAAATTAATAAACTACACAAACATCAAGTAGTTATTTGTAGTGTGCAGAGAGTTAAGATAGGATGATAGTGATTGGCTTGCTACTTTAGATTGAGTGATAAAGGAAGTCTTCTGAAGAGGTAGCATTTAAACTGAGATCTGAATGTCACAAGAAAGCCTATCAGAGGAAGAGCATTCTGTAAGGAACAGCTAGTATAAAAGCCCTGTAGTGAAAACAATGTTAGCCAATATGACTTGAAGCATAGGGAGTAAGAGGAAAGTAAGAGGTTTGAGATAAAGTTGGGAGAGATAGGCCTAGGAAAATGAGCCAGGGTAGGAGTTTGGGTTTTATTTTAACTGCAGTGGGAAACCATAGGGAAGTGACATTATTATTTGATTTGTATTTTAAAAAACTACTTTGGCTGATGTGTAGGTAATGGGTTATTAGGGGGCAAGAGTACAAAAAGGCAGGCCAACTAGAAAGCTATTAGTGTCAATAAAATGAGGGACCATGGTGGCTTGGTCTGAGGTACTCATCTAGGAGTTGGAGAGATACAGATAAAATTAGAAAATGCTTTGGGCTTAGAGCTAATAGAATTTGCTTATGGATATGATGTTTAGGGCATGGTTAAGTGAGGGAGGAATCAAGGATAATTCTTAGAGTTTCTACATTAGCAACCTAGTGAATGAAGGTGTCCTTATGAAAGAGGAAGGACTAAGGGAAGAGTAATGTTTGTTTGGGTTTTTTTGAAGAGCACTGCAGACCAAAAGTTCTGTTTGGCTTGTGACTGAGTTGAGATCTCTCATTAGACCATTGTAAAGAGATCTCAAATAGGCAATGGATGTGAAAATAAGGAATTCTTGGGAGATCTGAGCTAAATACAAAGAATTGAAAACAGTACACATAAAGATTTAAAGTCATGGAGTGGCATTTATCTGGCAGGAATCACAATTCCCGCCCCTTCCATTTTTCTGGAAAACATCCTTCTTTTCTGCAGAACCCACTTTAGCTTCAGGGTCCCTTTCAATATAGTGTTTCAAGCAGCCACAACCAATCAGCTACAGTTGGCTTTCAACATAAAGTCTATATATCATTCTTGTCTAAGTTCTACTGATATGTTTATAAAACTTTTTCTCACTAGTTTAAAATATATAGTCTCAAATTCATATAATTTGATTCTTTCTCATTGTTAAACTTTAACATTTTTATCTGTTTCCTTTGTTCTGATGACACAAGTGATTTGATTGAAAAACTCAAGTACTACTGAAATGTGCAACCTATCTATTGAAATGTTCTCATAATCTCACCTCTTGGAGATAAAGCAGAAAACTTTAACATATCTTAACATCATTCAGTAAATGTTTTAGACAGTAAACACCATAGGCAAATACCCAACCTTATGGAGCTTATGTTCTAATAGGGATTCTAGTCAATAAAGCAGATGAACATACAAATAGATAATGTAATATCTTACTGGGGTGAGTTCTATGAAACAGGGGAAGGGGGTGCTATTTTAGAAGGGCTTGGAAAGTCCTGCATAAAGTGACATTTGAACAGAGACCCTACAAGTGAAGGAGAGGGTCAGGGTTCTGATCAGAGGAAGATTATTCTTGGTAGAGGGAACTTCAGGTAAACACAGTACAGTGGGAACCCGCCTGACATGTGTAAGGAGCAGTGAGAAGGGCAGTGTCACTAAAGTGCAATGTTCAGGGCACAGCGGTAGAGTATCTAGAGTTTGGGGAGGAGGTGAGCATGGAAGATATAGCTTTGGGTGTCAGCTGCTTATGAATGGTACTTTAAACCATGAGATCAGATGAGTTTTCCCAGAGAATGAGAACTGGTAAAGAGAAGAGGAGGTCTGAGGACTGAACCCTGGAAGGTGGAGCACAGGAGGTAACTCCAGCTAAAGGAGTGGAAAGTGGAGTGGCCAGGGAGATGGGAGGAGAGATGCAAATGCACGTCGTCTTAGGAGCCCTGTAAAAAAAGTGTTTCAAACAGGAAGGAGTGATCAGCCCTGTTATGTGCTGCTGTGACTGATGATTGGTAACTTAGACAAGACACTCAGAAGGGTAATGAGAAGGAAAGCCTGTTCAGAGGAGCTTCAAGAGAGACTGGGGAGGAAAGAAATGGAGGTAGCCGCTGTAGTCAACTCCCTTTTAAGGCTTTTTGCTGTAAAGGGGAGCAGTGTGATTGCCTGGCAGCACCAAGGGCCCACTCTGAAGTTTGGGGTCCTGAATTTAAAGTGAAAACAACCAGCATAGAGTGTTTTTCTCTAGTCTTGCTCAGCTACTTGGTCAAAAGTGTGGGATAGACAGCCAGATTCATCTGGTTTGGGGTTTTGTCAGACGAGTACTGACAGAGTGAGAAAGAAGCACGGCAGGTAT